GCAAGGCTACCTGTGGGTTCACCGAGTGCATTGTAGGCCCCCTCTTGGAGAAAGGAAACGTACCCTGGCACGCCGCGCACTGGACAAGACCGTCGCCCGGTGGAGTTGCTCCGATTTTTTTGTTGTCGTGGCTCGAACCCGTCGAGGCCGATTCCCTCGATTGCGCCCTTGACGAATCTGCTGATGACGTCATCGTTCTGGATGATTTGGACGAGGACTTTGCTGAGTTTTCGAATTCATCGCTTCCTTGTTTGAGAGTCGCCGAGCTTTTCGCAGAAACTTCACTGGAAACCTGCTCCGCCATGCTGTCTATCGCGCTTTTTTTTTTCAACCCTTTTTCACGACTGACTTTATTCACAATGAGTCTATCCTTTTTCTGAGGAAGTGAACGTGAACAAATATTGGAGAAAAAAAAGTGAACAACCGGAATCTGTGGTGTAGCAGTAAGCGCTTCGCTGTCGCTTGCAGAAGACATGAGTTCGATTTCCGTGTGGGGAGAACATTTTTAATTAAATCGAGTATCTCAGTCTGCCTGCTGCGACACGGTATCCATTTCCGCCTGGTTCGGCCCCAACAGGCAGAATGAAAGAAGCCCGTTTCCCAAATCTAAAAAAAAATAAAAAAATAGATAGCATTTGTAGGCTATAGCGCAAATTCCCGCTCAACAGTGAGCTCTGTGCGCTTTACAAGTTACATTTCTGTATATATTTTTACTGAAAAAAAAAACCCCGTTGACCAATGGTACACAGGATGTATATTTGCAGTTTCCAAAGACACTGAAGCTTTGCAAGTCACCGAATCTTTGAGGCCGTTGTCTCATTTATTTTTACCTCTGACAGCAGGCGACCCCCACATCCTTCAATTGCAAATAACTCAACTTTGACTCGTGACAGATGGATATTTTTAAAAATGAAGCAGGACAAACGTATGATTTAAAAGAGTAAGTTGAAACCAGCAAGTCTGTACTTGCGAAAATCTGACCCCGCACCGACCTGAATAGATTCACGGGATTTGAGAGACCAATACACTCACTGGTGTGACTGTGATCAACAAGGAACCGAGTCGGTCGGGCCGTAGAACAGCGGCCATTCATGCGTTTTTGTGGACCTAGATCTTGAGAGGAGCAGAAACATCATCATCATCTTCCTGAAGGGGGCCCCCTATCTTCATTATCCAGCTTCATCAAAAGAACCTGCTTCTACAAGGTAAGCAAAGATTCTACAAAAAGAACAGACTCCAATATGCCCCAAACCAGACGAGCGCCTGATTCCAACGCGTCCTGAGACATTATTATATATAATAATATAGACTTAGAGTTTCAGAAATTTGTCGGCTAAGAACAGTATCATCGTCTTTCCATCGAGGTTGCAAGAGCTGTTCTCTCTTCTCTATTTTTTTATATTAGACTCCACTTAGAAAGAATGTAAATTGATAACTTTGCAATATCGCCCCCTGGAAGAGTTTCAGTGCGACTGGAAAGGAGAAAATCGATATAATAATACTAGCGAGCAAAAGGAACGCGAAAAACTATTTCGGCCATAACTAAATAACTATCAATGGTAGAAGACAAAAGTTTACACCATCGATAGTACGCCATATCCTATTTGGAAATCAAAAGTTGCCTGTCTTGCTTGTCACCGACAACTAGGGTTATTGCCCATTTCTTCGAAGCATGGAAAAAGCTACGCGTTGCCTTCGAAACACGGTCTAAATGAGTGGGGAAAAGGGTGAAAAGTATTCTCCTGAGCTCGGCTATAAAAGCCGTGGTGATAAATCGGTTCGGTCCTTTAGCCTGCATCTGCTACGGAAATGCTACGTTCAAGGCCTATACAGCAAGGAACAGCAATATGCCGTTTGGAAGGCGGAGAAAGGCCAATTGAGGTTGCCAATCAATTTGGTATTCACATCTCGACCATCCA